AAATCCCATATCCCTAGCACTGTTGCGTTAACAAAATGATCATCATATAGTTTGTTAGTTAACAACTTTCACTTAACTAAAGATAACTACTTCTGACATAATCAAGTGAACCTGTGAAATTATCTCATTTTCTGAGCGGCAATAGAACTGGGAAACGCAGGTGTTAAATAATAAACTGCGATTACTGGATCGTGTTGTACCTGCGCTGAGTTTGCTTTGAGCTGAAATCAGCAGTGGCATCCTTCATGCGTTCAGCATCATCATTAATCACTGCAGTAGTCAGGGCTGTTGTGGGAAATTAACCCCTTCGTACCACAATCCCCGTCCATGTTGGTCTACACAAGCGATAAAAGTGCATGTGTGCTATTCTACGCAGGTGGTAAGTCGGTCTTCCGTCTTTGGCTATGCCACGGACAGGAACAGGAACACCTGAGTTCCAACTGCTTTGTTTCCTTCAGTCCAATGGATTTCACATTTGTTTTGAGTCCAAAATGAAAACAATTTCTCTGCCACCGTGCGCTGTCCGTCTGTGATTGCCACACAGCTTCCTGTCAAATGCATGCTGGAGCGGTTTAAGCAGTGTTTAAGGCAGGCGGAACGTGATACTACTAACGTCTATCAAGTGGAGTTGTACCTCAATTCCATCTACAGACCTATGATTCTATAAATTATGACCATTTTAATTCAACGAACTACTTTTAAGATATGTTAAAATTCAGGTTTTTACGAACGCGATATGAACATGACTGACTCCTGGGATGTAGCACTTTGTAATTTGGTGGAAGTTTACCGACGTTTTAGACGTCGCCCTCACAATGGAGGCAACAAGCACCTCTGAAACGTCGATAAACTTCCACCAGACTGCATGACGCGACATTCAAAGAACATACTATTCATCGGAGTTTAAAATGCGTCGAGTACATTTAAAATATATTAGAATTCGAGCCGGGAAGCCCAATTTATACTGAGAGTTTTCTTAAATTTGTCCCTTTCCCTCCCGTGATGCGAATGTCGGTACTACAGACCACAACTAATTATGTTTAATTAATAATCTTTCAGAAAGTGGCAGTGTTTATCTGCCATAGTAAACACTTTTGCTTGATCATAAATCACAGAAAATACGAATAAAACACAACCATTCTTAAGCACATACTTTGTCTTGTGTACTGATGTTTGTCATGAATGAACAACCACCCTTCACTTCAGACACTATCTCAGCATCACTGTCATTAGCTACGCAGCCAAAGAGCGTAACAATTTAAACAAACAATAAAGTTGACCTACGGAACTTTTGCACGCTTCAAAAAGCAGTGTTGAATCCACAGAATCCCTATCTAATTTTAATCAGCGGAGCAAACAAACATCTCTGTGCTTACAAAATCGCCTCCGGGAATCTTGGTCTCGTACAAAAGAAGATATTCTTTCGCTCTCAGTAAGCTTTAGCTGCCCATTACTGAATTAATAAATAGCTAATCATTTAGGCTAATTGTTTCCCTGAATTAACTCATTTTAAAAAACAGAAGTTTAAGATAACATTTTGACAAAACAGAGAAGATGTAATCGAGAAACTTGAAAATGAAAATCTTCATAATTGTTATTCTACAGGGTGGGTGGCAAGTAAGTAGGTATTAAATAATCGCTTTGCATTGGAAATATAGAGGTTATAACCATTTCTCAATGCCTACTTGCTTCCCACCCACCCTGTACATAAGACATCATTAAGTGACATCAAACCAAGATGGATGACACATAGGAGATACAAAAATTACAGAGATTAGCCGGACACCAGACGTAAAGAGGTCAATTTTAAGATACAGGGGAAGACGTGAAGGTAATATTAAAATGGATTCCAAAGAAGCAGGGTATGAGTATGTGAAATCCATTAACATTTGGAGTCATTAGTGTGTCCGTAAGATTGTACTGAATGAACAATCAAACGCTGGTCTGGTTCGTGGCGTGGATAAATGATCCAGACATTCTAGACGTCGGCATTGGATGAAAGCAGGTGATAAGCTTAATGCATAGTTCGCTTTACGCCCGATAGGAGTCTGGGTGGATTCAGAAGGTGCATGGACATGGTGGCAACGTGGAAATATGTGACGTTCCTTCCAATAAGTGTCGTACGGAACAAAACCTCAACTTGTAGGCCTACACACTGCATGATAATAACCAAGGCTAAAAATATACTACGTAAGTACTTTACATTTAGATTTAAAACGACCGAATTAAAACGTCCATTCTTTGTGGCAGGTCCCAAATTGCTAACCAACATATTCAGTGCACTCCAACTTTCCACACAATTTAACACCATTAACATCCAACACCGTACAAATCAGTGCCAGACAGTTCTCATTAGAGTGATGGAAAGGCTGTAACATGTTAACAGCCTAACACTCAGTCCACTGACAGGAAGTCGTTACTATATTTCTGGTACACATGCTGAGAATGTAACAGCACATTTTAATCTATAAACTAAAAAAAAATAAAAATCACAGTTCTTCATAATATTAAAGTGAAAGAACCATTCGGTTCTCAAAGGACCAGAATATAAGCATATTTACAACATTTAATATAGCTAATTGAAACTGATTAATGGTAACGTGTTGTGTGTCATTTTTAATGTTAAAGTACACGATTAATATTGTATGTTACTGCATAAAATATATTTTGTTGGTTACATGATGTGAAAATGCACAAAGCTAAGATCGCGAAAGCTTTGAACCTAAGAGAAAAATAAAAGTGGCCAATAAAGGGAAACACAAAGGGGAGAAAATTAAATTGACTCGAAAGAATGGAAAATAAATTTGAATTCAAAAGGACTGCTAGTTGCAGCTGAAACAACAGGGCAAAAACGTCTGTGCTCAGCAAAAAGGCTAAGAACATTTGCGTAAGCACGGAGAACACGGTTCAGGGATCTCCGCTCCCTTTCATGCTAGTTCAAGAAAGTTTTCGTTTACGGAAGTGGTGGCATTCTATTAATGTAGATCTTCTGGGTTGTACATCTGCGTGGACTTGTAGGTAAACACCGACGTTTCGGAGTTACACACTGACTCAGAAGGGCTGAAGACGGTTGTTATCTACGTAAAAGTTCACTCGGAGTTGCAACCCATAGACCAACGTCCACATCTTCACCGCCGCTGAAACCTCAAACCTAATACTGTGACATCTGCGTCTTTTACCAACAACGTAGAAAGAAATCCTGCAGTTTTTATCAACTAACACAAACGCGTAGCTATGAAATAACAAGATAAAGCGAGTTCTCTATACACTCCTACTCCACATTCGACAGTTCCCGGGATCAAATCTCGGGCCGGAAAACGGCGATAGTAACTAAGGGTTTCCGGGATTTTCCTTAGTTCCTTTAGGATAGCACCTTAAATTTGGCAATTCCATATTTTTCCGATTAATTATTCATAGTCACGTACTTGCTAGATGCTAAATAGTCTCAGCTATTGACAGCGTCATTAAATAAATAACACAGATTTCAACGGCGGTTACAGAGCTGTAGAATTCACGGATGCCTGCGCCTCGCAATATCAGAGCCACACTCTGACAGAGCTTTTGGTGGTCCTTGAAGTGAGAGGACGTTTGAAAGTGACACATCAAAAATTTTCCTATAACATGTTACAGTAATTTGTCTCGTGATATGAACTTCGCTACAGTTAAAAGGGTAACCCGCAAACTGGGTACAGTTTACTCACCAAGCAGTTCAAGCAAGAAACTGCATCGAGTAAAGCCGACTGAATTAAATTTAAAACGAATTGGTCTTCACTTTTATGGGCATGAAGCATGAATATTCTGCGAAGCAAAATAACAGAAATCACGTGGCTTGAAAGAACGTGCCTGATTCGAATACATATTTAACATTAGCTTTCTTTCTCCACGATGATGGTACATGTACCAATGCACATACGATAATCGGTTAAGAGTTTAAAGTCTAGTGGTAACTATATGTACCACCGTCATCAAAAATCAAAATTGTGAAATCCTTTTTCTACGTAGATTATTTCCTTGAACAGGATCGTTTTAATGGTTACGGTATGGCCATTAAGTAATATGGAACTGTTAATTAAAATGAGCTGTGATAGTACGATCATGAATTGGAGTGATGTCGTACTTTTCGAGCAATCTTCCGAATACGGACGAAAACCTTCAGTAAAGTTTTCAGATCTTCTACCAGAATTTGGTAATGCGCGGTGTTGATATGATAACCGGTTCGGTTGAGTACTGTCCGTTTTCGGAAAAGGGAATGTAATTTATTTATTTACTGATTTCATTGCACCTGACTTTTACCTTGGTCCTACCCAATTTGACAGTTCCACATACTGACTCATAGCATTATACGCGGCCGGCCGTATCGCTGCATGAATTTCCGATGTTGCTGAGAAGACGCCAAACAAATTCTAATGGCACTCGTAGGAATCTGCTCTTTTCTGTCATGATAGTTTGTGGTTTTCCATTTGTTTCGTATCTAATTATATTTTTTACTGTACTACAATTACAGCGAAATGTGAAGGGTCACGAAACTGGCCTAGCTGCATACAATGTGACTTATTTATATTATTTATTTATTTTTTTAGTGTTCTGTCTGACGACAGGTCCATATGAACAGGATCCTTCCATCCTTTTCTCGGACTGGGACCTGTTCATATACGTTCTTGGCAGATGATCCAGAAGTGGTTTGCCGTTGCCTTCTTCTGTGTGTGAATGGAGTAATTGTTGGGATGCCACGGAGGAAAACTCCGTGTTGCCTAGACCACGGCCTTGCCCAACACAAGTTATAAATTCGGGCACCGCCGGGAATCTAACCCGAGACCCCAGGATTACAAGGCCAGCGTTCTAATCGCTAGACCACCGTGGCTATCAATGTGACTTACTGAAACAGTATTTCATAATTCGAACGTAGTATGTGCTCAGAGAAGAGACTATGCCATTCGAGATAAACGGATTGCTTATTTTCGTACATGTGCTGATATTAATTTAGGTTTCAGGGTACTCACCCTGGAAGCAGACAGCCCTCTTGTCGTACAGCACGACCACAAACACAAACAACATGTTGACGACACTGATGCTCAGCTTTCTACTTGGTGACAGTGACATGTCTGTTGGCGCCTGATTCTTCCCGTCTGTCGGCGCCTTACTTCATCGCAACACCTTGCCAGGTAATTTCCACCGTGTCCTGTTGGAATTCACACCTTCACTTACAAGAATACTGTTACCGGAATGTCATGACCTTCTACAGCGACATCCAACATCAGTGTGACTGTTATCACACGCTATTAAATCACCACAAATCAAAATTGATCACGCTAGTATCATTAAGTAAGATTTTGGAAAAACACCGTATTTATAAGAACAGTTAAGGGAAAAAGTGTCATGATTTAAACACAATTGTCAGTCACTTCAGTTTCTACTCGTACAAGATGAATATGACTGAGTCAAACTACGTTCTATACAACGAGATAATATTCACGAACAGGTTATGTTCCGCACGACATGGACACTTAATCTTACGAGACTACCGTTGGATGCACATTCACTCTCTACATAGCCTACGTCCGAAATGGTTCATGCGTTACTGAGCTCTTTACTCTGTGAGTGCCCCCACTGCTGGAGTTCAGTGCTACCACCAGTTGCCCCTCGATATTTGTTGGCACATTCACTCCTATCCGACTGAATCACGTCTTATTTCCAACACAACAGTACATTCAACTTTCTATTCATATGCACATTTCTTTTATACAAAGTTTCCACTGGCAAACTTTTTATTTCGAATTGCAAGGTCCTCACTTGGACTGTTTGATTTTTATTACGTGTAAAGATTCAGAGAAAATCAAACTGAAATTTTAAAAAGAAGAATCGAACCTCATCTTAATACACAGTCCGGATACAGTGATGATCAGGCTCTTACAAGAGTTTTAGAGTGAAATTATATCACAGCGTACTTCATGCTGATTCTACGTGATGAACTGTGAGTTTATGATTCATCAACTGCAGTACTAATACGTCACACACAATAAAACAGCATCAAACTTTAGTCCGTCAAAACTAGTAACATGGCAAAGAACAATTAATTGTCTCACGCAATTCACGCTGAAGAGCGTAGTCTGGACCCTGAACAGAACACACAGAGAGAACCGCTCGCTTACTCAGAGCAGCTATGACTGTAATTCACATTGCATTCTACCTTTTCTGTTGCTTGGTCACGAGCTTTCGGGTGACGGCGGGAGGGCGACAGAGGTTCACGCGCATGTGCAGGTGTGTGCCAAGACACGGCAACTAGCCCGCCCTCTGACATCCCTAAATGTTGGCAGACGGAAGGATCATCTTCTTCAATCCACCTTTGTATAGCATACAATAACTGATGATTTAAGGTTGAGTTGTCTCCATGTTTCTAACCCCACACGCAGAAGAAACAATACTGATCGCGACACTCAACCGAACATCATATTCTACAGCAAGTCAGCTACACAATATGTTCACCCAGTTACGTCATCATAACCGAACTATTGCTGCATGAATCACCAGAGGACGTACAATGATTTTACAGGAAGAAAGTCGTACGATATACGTGACTGATTCTTAATACACGTTTCCCCTTCATGATTCATACCTCTCGGTTGTTATTGTGACGTTGCTGTGGTACATGTGGACGTGAGGGGGTCAAATGCGTCCTTTTGTCGACTTACTTCGGACATGAGAAAGAATTAAACACGAAGTTTGTCTGAATTGACCCAAAAATTTCGTTCCAATATCCAAAAAAATAAAACGCGTCTCGAAATTGGTTAATGTTGCTTACGGCAGTGTTTATCAACTGGGGGGTTCGCAGACCCCCGTGGAGACCAAGTTGTGCCTGGGGGGTCTATGAGTTCAAAAAATATTTCACTATTTTATTTTTTATGCTGTATTTCTGCAAGTTTCGAGATTTCTTTCATCACATTCTTTCGTCCACATAATCGCCCATATTCTATATAATCAAAATTTTTGAGCCAAGTTCGGTTGGGTGAGGGGGGGGGGGGGGC